AGGGGGGCGGGGAGGTCACAGGGGGCCGGGTGGGTGGGGAACAGAAGGGAAATAGGGATGCCTCCACGGGGCGGGGGGCGGCCACGGAGGCGTCTGCATCCCTCACTGGCCTCACCCTAAAGCCGGTCCAGGTCGCCCTCGGGTCCCTGTGGACGTTTGGAGGAGCTCCCTCCTGCTCGGTGGGGGACAGCAGCTTCCTGCTGGCGGTGCCCATGCTGGGCTGGATGGCCCCGCGGAACGTCCTTCCCTAACCATGCCGCGTCCTCACAGCTGCTGGCGCTCGGCCCTCTTGCCCGCCTCGGTCCTGCCCACAGTCCCGTCCCTTCTGCTCTGTCGTGCCCTTAACTTCCTTCTTCAGGAAGTCTTTCCCTGTGAGCCCCGGGCCTCCCAGCACTGCGCCTGGGTGCACCTGCGGGAGGGGCTTCCAGACCCCTCTGCCTGTGCTTCTGGCCGCTGTGTTCTAGTTAGAATGTGCATCCCAAATGCTTTCCTTATTTTAAGTCTGTCCCCTGCATCACCCCCGACTCCAACCCTGTGGCCTAAGTATTCTTTGTAACTGGCAAATCCAGTTTTCCGAGCCAGTCCCTGAGGCCCCTCGTCACTTACCTTCCAGGCTTTTCCGTCCTCACCCCCTTCCCATGTGACTCCGGCCCCTACTCACTGACTCTGCTCCCAGCATCATGTCAGTTTCTAAACTGCACCTCTGGGCCTTTGCACTTGCTGCTCCATCTGCCTGGCATGCTTCCCCCGCCCCACCCCACCGTCTTCGCTTAGCTAATTCACCTTGCAGGTCTTAGCTTGGCTTAGAGGTCATTTCTCCCGGAAGATGTTCTCTGGCCAAAGTCTGGGCTGGGCGACTTCGTTCTGTGCCCCCCACCCCACACTGCCCATTATGTTCTCATCATGCTGCGTCCTGTTCGTTTCGTTGGCTGTCTTTCCCACCAGACCATAAAACTTGGAAGAAACCAAACTGTCTTGTTCACAGCTGCCTCATCTAACACTGTGCCTGGCAATACCAGGTTTTCAGTAAACATTCATGAGTGAATAAATGCGTTTCCTGACAGCAGGGATCATGTTGGTCTCCTGCCTCAGCAGACTGGGAGCTGCCTCTCTGGACTGTGCCTGGGTGTCCAGCCCACACGTCCAGGCTGTGCAGCCAGAGGGAAGGACAGAGCACTTGCTCAATGACCTAGAGATTCCTGTCCAAGTAAGACCTGGGCCTGCTCTGCTTAGACTCCTTCCCAGGAGGGGCCCAGCGGGGAGGAAGGGCTTTGGGGGAGGGGGCACATACCTGCAGTGGACCACGATGGGCCCAGTGCTGGCAGCTGTCTCTGGGCTGTCCTCCACCTCGGCCACCAGGCGCAGCAGGGGCGCAGCCGACTCTGGGGTCTGGTGGTCAGGCCAGGCTGAGAAGAGGATGTGCTTCACTGGCCGGCGCTCTTCCCGGTGCTGGGCGGGGACAAAGCATGAGAACCGGGGACAGGATGAGGGCATCGCCCGTCCTCTTCCCTGGTGCTGGGGCTGGAGGGAGCCCGAGCAGAAGACGCCAGCCTGGTCCCGCTAATTTTGCTCCACCGCTCCCCCCCCCCCCGGGACACCTCTGGGGAGGGCGGAAAGACCCAAGTTCCAGTCCTCGCTCTGCCTCCAGCCAGCACATGACTTCGGGTGAGTCCCTTGACCTCACTTTCCTCACCTCGAAAATGGGACCGTGGCGCTCGGAGGATAGAGAAACGCTTTGGAGAGCAGAAGATGCTACACAATAACGGATGCGTTTTTAGGCACTTTTACAAGTTATTAAGCATCTTGTCAAATGGCCCGCGGTTCCTCCAGCAGTGACTCCAGGACCCCGCCCCCTCCTCCGGGCGCTTGGCACAGACCGCTGGGCCTTCCTGGCGGTTCCCACATGGATCGTCGGCGCTGCCCTACTGGACTAGAGGCTCCCCGAGGGCGGCACCCACGTCCCTCCTCTGGTCCCAAGCAGCTCTTTACATGTGGGTTCAAGCAGGTTTCCCTGAGTAAACCTGTGCCTCCCAGGGACCTCCCTGAGAGTGAGGGTGGCCCGACTTCCCTGTGGACCAGAGGGCGGTACCTGGATGGTGAGCTGCCTCACGGCGTACTCCGGGCGCTCTCTCACATCCTGGACCTGGATGCGGAAGGGCCCGTAGGTCTCTTCCTCCGTGGGCCAGTAGTGGACACACTTCTGGGGGGAGGGAGCTGGGAGTCAGGGGCCGGGGCAGAGATGGGAGCGGGGACCCCCCCCCCACCACTACCCGAGGCATTTCCACCCCTGCTGCCCCGCTTTGAGGGATGGGCTGTCCTGAATTTGACACCTGCAGATAAAGTGCCCCCCCACCCCTGCTTCTGGCCGGGGCTGGCCTCCCTGCCACGTGTCTCAGGAACTGACAGGTGTCCTCAGCTCCCAGGGGAGGCCCCTGCCCGGAGCTGCCCCAGCAGGGGTGTGCTGCAGACGTGGGTGCAGCCTGTCCATCTGGGTTCGCCAGGGACCGCGCCTCAGCCTCCTACCTCCTTGCCCTCTCGGAGCTGTGTCAGCATGACGATGAGGGACGTCTCCTCCTGCCACACCATCTCCCAGAAGTCTGACACGGTGTTGGGCATAGGGCCCTGGGTGGCGATGTAGGCCTTGTCCTTCCCACCGTATCCCTGCAGGCGGAGGAGGCCGGGGAAGGGTGGGCGGTGAGGCCAGGGCCCTGGGGCGGCCAGACTTGCAGGTGCCGGGCTCAGGCTGCAGCCAGGGACCGTGCAGCCCGGACACACACGTCACAGACACACACACCAGACGCCACATGGTGGACACGACACGGGCTCTGAGTGAGAACATCCGGGTTCCAACCCCTGTTCTGCTCACTGCCTGTGCAGCCGAGAGCGAGTTTCCCAGCTTCTGGCCTGTAAACGGGGTGTAATGGCCATCCAGCAGCAGGTGGTGCAGACCAGACTCTACGCAGTGTGTTGGGTTGAGTCTAGCATCTTTCAGGGCCTCTGTGAATGTCCCCTTCCTCCCCTGCTGCTTTCTATTGAATACTAGCGCAAAAGGCGAAGAAAACAGTTCAGTATTTATTGAGCGGATGTTTCC